CAATAAATAACGTGAACATTATTGCATGCTGGTGACATTACAGGCACATGGGACTTGACTACGTCTCAACGTGACGGGCACAGGGCTGCCCTGCTTGTCATAACTAACACATTCGCATTTCGGAATATTCGATATATTGGCAACTAAAGTTTTATTGTTGCCTAAAAAGTCAATTACGCTGATTTCACTTAATAATAAAACTGAAACTAATTAAGATAATAAAACACCGACTACATGGGGTCGCAGATCTTGTTTCGCTGATTCCAGATATGTCAATAACTCAATTTCGTTAAAAATGTGATTACGTTACTTATGGTAAGGATGGCACAGTGGCAGTGCCCCTCAGTTCCTTGCGATTGAAAGCTCTGGAAGGCACTGCAACTGTTAACTTGTCGCTTATCACCAGGTACAGGACTTGTTCGTGCCGTCACTCGGTATCATAAAAAATACTTAGGAATTTATTTGCATGTTGTGTGCATTAAAGTATTAAGAGATATTTTTTTATAATTCTGTTTTATCAAAAGGACAAATTGATTCAGTTAATACGGAAGTATTATATCGGAACACGATTAAAATCAAATGATAAAATTCATATTAATTAATCGAAGAGGACGTCACTACTAGTTACTTATATTGTTGTATTATCAAAAACTAGATATTGTAAATCGCACCCCTCATGGAAGAATGGCATAAGTGGAGTTACGTCAAAAATGTTCATTGCTCCATTGGATACAGAAAAATATAACCTACATCCTCTCCATTCTTAGAACTCTATCGATTAATATTGTCGACAAGAGTTACAAGAATTGGGCTTCCCCAATTATATTTTTCTGTATCCAATGGAGCAATGAACATTTTTGACGTAACTTCACTTATGCCATTCTTCTATGAGGGGTACGAAATTGTGCGTGGAAAGCATGGTGAATCTTTAGTCTTTACAGTTTCCGTATCCACTTTGGTTAAGATTTACTATTGACATCCGTTTCCGTTTTTGTTTCCGACACTTCCATTTCATCACTATTGATTAATCTTAAAATATATTTAGTTTACATTCGCCCGAATTGACACCAATGGCTCCGTGCGCAGTACTACCAACAAAGTTTAAAATTAAAATAACTGGAAGAATCAAATGGCACCATATTTTTCTAAACAGGCAATGGAATTTTCTTTTTCTAATACATTTTAAATAACAATTTATATATTAATATTATGGCAATGCTTAAAGTGTTTCTCACAAAAATTAAGTACGTCATAACGGGAATTTCAAGTATGGAATGTTTAGTTGGGTGTTATAAAACAATCACAGAGTTAACGATCAACTTGGGTCCTAAGTCTGCTAATATTTTGAAACCATTGCTCATTTTAATTACTTTGAAACTCCACTGAAATTATATTGCAATAATATTTGTCATTCTGCTAAAATCCATTGCAATGGCAATTGACCCTTAATCATCAAGTATATAACCAGAAATAGAGACAAAATGTCATTTAATTTGTTAAAAAACTACTTTGCCAAATCATTACGGTGACAACTGCTCCGATTGGCCAGCCTGAATTCGAAACAATTGACGGGTATCGTCAGTTGTTTCACTTCTTATCGACCAGTTTAACTCGAGCTTCGCTATAATGGAAGAAAATTGCAAAATTACATATTTAATTACCGATAAAATGTGATTCCGTTTGTTTTGTAATTAGATGTTTTGCTGTTTTTCCCACATCACCGAATGGAATAGCCCCCAATAGTTAGAGATATTATCTTTATTACAATAAATACAGAATATTTTTGGAATATACGGATACGTACACACAGATACAGGTTGGCGCTGTACTAATTCAGCTTTTTAATTTGTGATTTCAGCGCAAATGAGAGTTGATATTTAGAAGTGATATAAGGCCCATTTGCCTGATGAGTTGCCAGGGATGGATGGCTCTTATTCCGCCTCTACTTCTGGTTATATACTCGATGGTTTTTAATGGAGTGTCAGTGGAATGGCAGTGATGGTATTCTTTCATTCAATCAATGACGATCGATGTTGCTAAAACTATCACGGAAATTACTACGCATATCTCAATTTTTATTTAGTTTAAAGAGTAATTTAGTTTTGCAAATTAAATACATATAATATTAGTAGACTACACCATGGGCGCGTCGTCGACTCGCCGTTGAAGAGCAGAATATAAAAAAATTGCAATGGCAGTAGCATAGTAAGCTCTATGGCTAGCCAGAATACCAAACGTACAAAATCTAGCCATTGACACTGTATCAATAAACAAGTAAGAAGATTTAAAATTAGCAGAATTGGGATCCTGTACAGGTGTTCACAAAAATGGCTCAAAAAAAGATAATATGACAGTGAACAACTGCATCAAAGCAATAAAAACTATAATCGATATTTTTTATATTCAGCACTAGTCGTCATTGTATAGCAACTCAAAATTGTTTAAATAAAAATGTAACCGTTTCAAAGTAACGTTGCACCTTTACGTTACACCCTGTATAATATACAGAAGATACTTTGTTCTAGGGCGACTTCGAATTTTAGACTTGTAGAAGCACTGCAGTAACGCATCTGTGGCACTTCTATAACTTTTAGTTCACTTAGTGTGAGGCCGAACGAGCGTAATTTTGTGAGTTGCGTACTTTGCGCTGCATTCGGTTTCATATAAAAGTACGGTTTGTTTCACACGACGGCGCAAAATGAGTTTTCTGTCGACTCTCTGATTCTGACGACTGACTTTCGGTCGCATCGTGAGACGGGCTGACGCGGGTGGAGGTAGGGATGAGGGAAGGGGTCACTTTGTTATAAACGCTTAAAAGCAACTGAATATAATACGTTCGTCTGGCTCTCCAACCGAATTTCGGTCGAGCTCAAACTGCGCAACTCAAAAAACACAACTCACAATACACATAATTACGCTCGTCTGGTCTCACCCTTATCGTGAATGCAAAAGCGTGTCAGGATAGTGGCGCTGCAACAGCACTTTCAAAATTTTGTATCAAAATTAGTATTAGTGCGGGTGCAGCGCCACAGTGGCGCCACTGCAGCACGTTTTCCAAGCGTCTAATTTGGAGCCGGCCTAAAGAACCAGCATAGTTTCATCGAATTCTTAGGTTTTCGCAATTACACACATCAACCACGTTGCTGCTAATTACTGAAAATCAGGTTTTTTTTTAACATCACTGGATCTTTTTGGTCAATTTCACTTTCAAATTTAAATCATGAAATTGGCTATAAAAAACGATCGCGTCGCCTTACTTTCTGAAACTCGTATCTTAAAGCAAAAAGTTACGAAATGCATTGCATATACAAATTTTGCAGGCTAATTTCACATCATATTTCTTCATATGCACACACTGGCTTTTACCTATTCTTAAAATAATGCATCCAAATTGTAGATAAGAAACTTAAAATAAATAGAAAATTCTGTTATCTCCTGAATAATCGCTCTTTATAAGATACACGAGTTTGAGAAAGAAAGGCATCGATTGGTGTTAAAAAAATGTAATAGAAACATTGTCTTACAATTATATGGACGTCGGGTCCGCGCTAAAAAGTGTCCGAACTTATAGGGCGTTAAAATCGTATACAGAGCGTCATTCACTCTTTAGTCTTCGTTTGTTCGATTGACAGCGAAACAAGCAAAATTAGACAGTACTGCGATGACATTACAATTTAAATTCAACGTTTTAGCTTTTTCATATTCCTTTACATGTCACTACGTTTAAATAGGTTGACTTGGGACTTTTTTTCGTGGTTTTTGTATTAGACCCGTCGTCCATTTATTTGTAAGTCAATGTAATGGAAACCTAATTTTCAGTAATTGGTGAAAACGTGCTTGTTCCCTTTACAGTTTTGATATGTGTACTACATATTGAAAAAGAAACTATTTTTTTACTTGTTTGATGATATGACTTTAATAAGAATGAAACAAACGACGGTGGTTGCTCACCAGCGCCCGTACTGAGTGACCTGGCTGCCAGGGCTTTGGCGCGCAGTTCCCGTCTAGTCACCCCCGCGGAATCTCATGATTAAGGACCACGGACTGGTTCGAAACGTGAGAGCAAAAATACGACTTAAATATGTGAGTTATCCAATAGTTTATAACAATTTATTTTGACTTCACTTCGTAATTTTAAAAAAATGTCCACGAAACTTTAGATCGGAAAATTATAGTTTCTTTTCCAAGAATAGTTATGTTATACAGTATGACAGCTGCTATAAGAAAAAAAACATTATGATGTGTGCGAGAGGTATTACGACATGAGATGTAGTACGACATTGACGCCTTGTTAAATTATTGATTTTTTTGTTTTGTTATAACAATAAAAGGTGTTGTTTGTCAGCTTTCGCTTGTCTCCCGGCGTTTTAGTAACTACCTTTTTTATTTATTGTTGAAGATAACAAGTAAAGTTTCAGTCATGAAATGACGTCAATGTCGTAAGAATCCTCGCATACATTACCTTTTGTTTCTTATAAAGAGTACTCTTGTTTATAGATTGATTGTTTCTAAGTTGGTTACAATAGTTTTGGCAATATATTATGCAGGCTGTTTAAAAAGCATGCCACATAAAGAAGGTACTTTATATTTTAGTAAGTACTAGACATTTGAGTGGCCGATTTACCGGCGAAAAATCGGCGTGGTGAAAATTTGTTTTGTTTTAATTAAATGTCAGCATCTTAGTTCATTATTTACTATATTTCCGTACAATTAAAATTAATCCTATTCATCCTAGATTTAAATTAACTTCGTTATAATAATATACTACGCCAGAAAGCAATTCCGGTCCTGTGAGTACCAGAACAACAATGGAACGCCCCGGAGGCACTTCATTTTGATGTGTTTGTTTTTCTTTTCAAACATTCTTTTCAAATTATTTATTTTTAGTAATAGTGCCTAAGTTAAAGGATAAAAAAACATTGAAATTTAAAGTTAGTTAAAAAATATTTTAGTCTACGCCACGCCGATTTTACGCCGATCTCCGGCCGAAAAACCATCAGACGCCGTGGCCTACAATCGCCACACATGTCTAAAAGTACTCCGTCAAATCAAGTGCCGTTCATAACACTCTCTAATAGAAAATTAAAAATCATACTATAAATGTACGCGGTGTTTCTTTAAATCTTCGTAAGCAATCCTTCCAGGCCGAGAACTTCGGGTAGTTCGATGTCTTCGAGCCTGATGGACGATGGGTTGAATGGAAACTGGACAGAATAGATCATCTTCGAGTCCATTAGGAGGTTTTGCTGCGGACAAAAATATTAATTATATTACAATTCAAATGTTATCGTGGTTAGGCCAGGAGTCCGTCACTTGTTCAAGGTTACGCGATAAATGCCTACCGCTGCGTCTACTGTATCGCTATCGCAAGCGCTCAGAGAAGTGTTTCATTTACATTACAATCCTTGTACAACTCTAGCGCATTCGGTTCCGCACGACTGCACACGGCGGGTAGCGTTATTTTTACCTCTCTGAGCGTGTGCTTAGGTTTCTTTTTCCTCGTAGTGAGCGCCTGTTGTCATTAGTCAGATTTAGTAGACTATTATAGCGTATTCCATTTTGTATGAGAGTGATGTATCTGTTACGTAGTAATTATTAAGTAGCCTGTGGTTAGGCTTTGAAGCGTGTAAGGTAGATGCGAAGTAATCCATTGCACCTTTTAGATGCAAAATATACTCTCTTACTGTAAAATAAGCTCATAGTCCCCTAATGCATTTACTACGGAATCGAAAAATCGATCACTCCTACGTAAAAAATTGTAAGCTCAAATTCACAACTTTACAGGAGAACAACTCACAACCACTAGTAGCATAGATTATGTTTCTAATTATATGTATGAAATATCATTTTCAGTATCGAATCAAGTTTTTTCTAGTAATCAGCAGAGAAAGATAGAAAAACCGTTATTCCAACTGATTCAATTAAACAAATCGGTTCATTCAATTAATTGGCCATCACTAACGTCACCGTCTATGGTCGGCTCAGTTTACTATTTGTTTAAAATAATGGATTGAAACGAAATATAGTTTGTACGTTACACAATTCTGTGGCTCTAGTGAAAAGGGGTACAAGTAAAAAAAGTCAACTTTATAAGGAAAGGCGAAATACGCTTAACACTTAATACCATATTAGCTTTAAATTCTTTTTCGCGTCTCCTTGTAAAGTTGGCTTTTTGACTTGTACCCCTTTTCACTAGAGCCACAGAATTGACAAAATGTATACAGTATAAACATACAATTTAGTATCAAATATTTGCTTCCATTTCGTTCAGCTGCAATGTAAATTCTGTGGCTTTAATGAAAAGAAGTACAAGTCAAAAAAGCCAACTTTACAGGGAAGCGCGAAAAACACTTAACGCTTAATATCATATGTTTTACGCGTCTCATAATAAAGTAGGCTATTACTTGTACTCCTTTTGTCTAGAGCCACAGAATTGAGTTTAAGGCTCAATTCTGTGGCTAAAATAAGGCTGTTATTCAAAGATTTAAAATGGTTTTCAGTTAAGAATCTAACCGGTTCTTTGTCGGCATTAGGTCCAGCTCTTTCGTGCATCTTCTTGCGTATCTCGTGTATGAACTCCAACGTCACCTTCACTTCGTATTCCTCCGCTGGAGTGTACATGTTCAGGATCTGGAAGACAAATTCAAATAACCTTTATTTTTCATAGGTAAGCAAGCAAATTACACTTGCAATCGTCATACTGATTATACTCTACCGCTCATTCGTAAGGCAGATTCCCCTGACAAGAATGAGCAAGAACCTCTAGGGTTGCTCTTTGTACATGTACATTTTAAGAGGTGCATTTGTTACTTATTGTAAACCGATCAATAGTCAAAGTCAAAGTCAAAGTCAAAGATTATTTATTCCATAGGTAAAATAAATTTACACTTGAAATCGTCACATTTAAGCTACTGCTCGTTCACTACGCTGACCTCCCTGAGAAGAACGAGCAAGAAACTCTAGGGATTGCTCTTTTCAAATAAACTTAAATGCTATGGAATACACTTTGAATCAAATTTGTGTGGGTTCTGGAGCCATGTCGTCTTTCCATACATCTTTATCTAACACGTAGTCTTCAATTTTGTAATATGATTTTTCGATCAAAATATTTTTAATGTAGTTTTTAAACTTAGGAAATGATAAACTTAATATATGCTCCAGAATCTTATTGTAAAAACGTGTACAGTTCCCCATAAAAGAGTTGTTTACCTTGGTTAAACGAAATCGTGGTACCATGAGTTTGGACTTAGCTCTAAGGTTAATATTATCGTCTTTCTTATTGAAATTATGTATATTTTTACGTATATATAAACGATCAATGTTAAAAAGTGTTGGTTCCCTTTGTTAGTTATAGAACCTTGGATAATTCCTATAGGTAAACAGTAGTGTATTGTCCCGACCGCTAAAGTTTAAATTATATTAACAAACCAGAATTAGTCGTTTCTTTTTAAATTTGAACCTACGACCAATAGTTATTTCAAATTAAGAATGTGTGATTTTTGGCGACATCGGTTCTGATAATAATCGAGACTTGTGGAAGTGCCTTCCATTGTTTTCCGTGTATAGCTTGACCCACCTTGCAAACTTGCATAGCAGTGAGATCCGCACACATATCCACGGTGCTTTGTACATCCGCCATAGATTTGCGTGCTTGCAGAAGTTGGACAGCCTGCGTGATGGGCTTCAGCACTGCTAAGATTTCTTCCACCTGGAAAGTAATATAGTAAAAAGAACATCATTAGGAGAGTCTAGACATAGGCTAGGATTCCCACTCCTAAGTTGCGTGTATTCCAAGGATCTGCAAGAAGCGTTTCGCTTCCACATTTATATTTTACAAATTTCGTAAAAAAATTGTGTTCGTGATTTGTGGTTTTATGTTTTAGATTTTAACGACAGTTTTTAAATTATTTACGTCTTGGTTTTAATTAAGTTTAAGTTTTAAAATTGTATTTAAAACAAGACGTAAATACACTCCCGGACACGTAAGTCGAGCCACCTTGCATTTTCAGTAATTGCCTAAGCATAAATAATGTTTGATTGATCAAAAACTTCCAAGTTATTTGGAGCTGGTAAAGTAAACGTCATTTCCATGAGTCCTTGTTAATATTTTGAATTTATAAAACCTGGAAAAACTATTTAATTTAGTGAGTTATCACTGATATTTTTGTATTCTGCCCTTTAAGAATAAAAATGTAAGGCGGCTCGATTTATGTGTCCGGGAGTATATTTTGATGCAGTCAAGTCAACGTCAAATAATTTTTAATTCATAGACAAATTACACACCAAATCATCATATTGGTTAAACTCTGGCAGATTCCCCTGAGAAGAACGAGCTAGAAACTCTAGAAACAAGGTTTGGTCATTGTAAATATACGTTAGTCGTCCACACGTTCACTGTACTTGTTTATCAGTTTATTAAAAAAAAAAGTGACGGGGCGAACAAGTCTGTGTGACAGTGCGCCTGTTGGTAAGCGACACGCCTATCCATAACAGTTGCAGTGCCAGGCAGAGCTTTAAATCGCAAAGATCTTAGGGGTACTGCCACTGGGCTCGTTACTCTGAAGCATAAGTTGTAAAGTTCCATAATATGCCTGTAATTTCACCAGCACCCTTTCCCTTCAGAACGCAGTAATGCTAACATTACTACTTGGCGGCAGAAATAGGTAAGGAGGCAGTACTTCCCTGGCTACTAAATGTAAGTATCTGTATACAAGAATATAGGCTACTTATATTACAATAAAATATTTTATTATTATTATATTATTATTTATTATTACTTACGCTCTTCTGTCCATATTCAGCCAAATTCTCCTTGATCCAGGTCTCGAGATGCGAGATGTTGTATCTGATCTGCAGACCCTTCGCCCAGCAGCACAGGTCTTTACGGAGAAGAAGCTGATTTAGACTGTACGCGCAGATGTAGTAGAACAGCTGGAAAGTTACAAAGTAAGTTGGTTAAGAGCGATGTGCCTGGCGTAGCAACAGACACTGGTTCGAGTCCAGACAGGATAGGCGCTGTTTATGTTTCGATACCTCCAATCATCGAGTGTATACCCAGAAATAGACTCATCAGGCAATGGGCCTTATATCACTTTTAAATATCAACTCTCGTTTGCGCTTCAATCACAAATTAGAAAGCTGAAATAGTACAGCGCCAACCTGACCTGTGTGTACGTCTCCGTATATTCTAAAAATATTCCGTATTTATTGTAACAAATTTGAAGCCCCCAACAATAATAGGGGGCTGTTCCATTCGGTGGTGTGGGAAAAACACCAAAACGTCTAATTACAAAGCAAACGGAATCACATTTCATCGGTAATTTAATTTGTATTTTTTTCATTTTTCGTCCATTATAGCAAAGCTCAAGTTAAACTGGTCGATTTGAAGTGAAACAATTGACAATACCCGTCAATTGTTACGAATTCGGTCGGACAATCGGAGTGCAGTCGTCACCGTAATGATTTGGCAGAATAGTTTTCAAACAAATTAAATTACATTTCGTCTCTATTTCTGGTTGTATACTCGTTGCTTCCAATGAACACTACGCCATCTTTATGTTTTGGTAATTTTCTGTTATTTTTATAAACAGCACGCACTTACCTGTTTAAATATCATAACCCGTAACGGTGAATCAACAACATAGACTTGCAAGTTTTCATGCACAGAGTTCAACTCCTGTTTGAGCCTGCCAGGGCCGGCTCCAGGTGGCGAGGGAGTCTGCCGCGTGGGTACGCTGAGGCCACTGATTTCTTCGTGTTCTAAGATGGCTGGAACTATGAGGCGCTCGAATTGGCGCTCCAATACTTGGATGAGACCTGGAAAATAAAAATAGCTTTTTTATTGTACGGACTGGAGCAATTTCATTTCATATTATCTGTGTAATAATATTAATCAGTACAGAGTACTAAAAGTTCGACCTCAAAAGTTCTTGGAATTACATCTATTTGCCAAGTTTTATTACACCATATATATAGACATCCGTTACCGGCAATAGTATAGCGAATATAGTGTACGTCTATAATTGTTATATCCATCAGTCCTAATGTCTTATTTTTATTGTCATATAATGATCTCATATACGTATACATATAGATGGCGTTGATGTGCCTATTATAATAAAATAAAAAATAAAACAACAATGGTAGTGTGTGTATTTGTACTTACCCTGATAAATAGAGACTGCAGTGTCACTCAAGACTTGTCGATATTCCGACAGGTCGAATATTCGTAGGCACTGCTGGTTTTGTCGTGGCGTGTTATGAGTTTGGTACACTGTGTCACCACTGTACTGCCGCAGGTTGTTTAGTAGCCTGTAAATATAATTATTTTAGTTGATCCAAAACTACATTAATTAACATGTTGTGTAATGACACATTTTTTGTTGGTTATGACCCATAACTGGAATTTTTTTCAGAATCAGAAAAGTTTACACTTTTCTGTTTGTAAGTTTCTTTTTACTCTGCAATAATTTATTGTTCATGTAATGTCGGTCTATAATAGATTGTGCACTAAATTTTAAGTTTCTTTTGCATGTATGTTTTCTGATCTTTTATTAGTGTAACAATTGCACTTTGTGTTTATCGAGTTCTTTAGTTTTCTTTGTGTTTGGAAAGTTGTGTATGGCATATCGACTGTGAACTAGCAACCGGTACTATCTCAATATTCTAAAGATTTAACTTTTTAATACCATTTAATAGTATTTCATACTCCGCAGCGTGGCAAGAAATTCCATTGTTTTTAATAACATGTATAATAAAAATATTTCGAAACTACGTATTTTTTTAAATTATTAATACAAAGATTGAACACTCAGAAAAAATTCCTTCTATCCGGCTGGATTCGAACCGACGTCTTCTAGCTTACCGTGCCCGACGCTATACCAACTAAGCCACGGAACGAACCAGCGGACCTCACGAATTTTTCTATGTGCCTTGTCGTATCTTTGTGTTTGGTTTTTCAACGACTTTTTTTAGCTGTAGCGCCATCTATAAGAAATCCGTGATATTTCGTCACTCAGTTAGATACCTTTACAGCCACCACCCCTGGCTAGAGATGTCGCTATTCATTGTTTTTAAATTTAATAAACCAGATGCTATATAAATGACGCAAACAAGTTTTTTTCTTCGCCTGTATAGTTGTCAAAGTTGACATAGTACTGGTTGCTAGTTCGCAGTTGATATGTCGGATACTTTACAGAATGACTGACCTCAGCATATTGGCAAGCCACAATACGTTATACTCCACACTATCAGCACGTTTCTTGAGAGTCTTCTTGACTGCAGAGCGGAAGGATTTCATGAGGCCGTGCATTTTGGGCTCGTCGTCCACGTGGTCCATATGACGAAGCATCATGAATAGGATGTAGGCCGGAAGACCTGGGAGGAGCGTTACTGCCACTTTGGGTTTGAGATCTGAAAGACAAAAATAACTTTTAAGTACGTGTAAGTGGCATTCTGCGAGTCTGCCATTCTGCTCGGTTAGCATTTTGCGTTTCTGGCATAAAGCGTCAAAACGGCGGCGCCAACTGTTTACGACCTCGCAGGGTATATATTACTAATATCGTAAATATGTTGTCTCACGACTTTTAATCATTCATCGGATTTTACTTTCGTATAGAAATAAATATATTTAAATAGATCGCTTTAAACGGTGATAACTCTGTGCCGTAACAAAATAAAGCGCTAGCGTAAACACCAGTCCGATGCAAAACGCAGGAGCGTGAGTGGAGGACGTCGGTAAGTACGCTTGTACGGACAACGGCATATCAGACTACATATTTTTGTTCAAAAATCGCCTCCATTGCAACGGAACAAGATACGTCAATGTGTAGCTTGATGTGCTGGCGTGTGTGTGTTCAACTTAACGCACACACACTCATAATAGGCTTGCCAGATGGCCGGAAAATCCGGGATTGTCACGGAATTTTTTCTTGTCCCGTGTCCAGTAATTAGGCTTTACTGTCCCGGATTCCAAACACTTAGAAGTTGTTTTTACAAACTCACGAGAATCCTTTACAAAAAAAAAGTCCCCCAGACACAGCGCTGTAGTCGTGGGAAGCAATATCGAAATATTGATTGCGGATGTCGCAATATTTCGGTATTCCCAAGAGGTGGTAGAAAACAAATTACGGCCATATTATGATCGTCAAAGTAGACAGATGGCCAACTGACACAATAGTTCCGGCAATTGCCGCAGGACTTTTGTGAAAAGCACTATTGCCAGTACGACAAGAGCGCTAGCACTCACACGGCAAGCCTGGTTATTATAAAAATACATATTTGAAAATAACGTACATTTATTTCCCTTAAAAATACAACGAAAAAAAAAACATTATCGAGGCCTAATATAAATACCTATTTATTTTCATATATTTATTGCTATGGCTCGCCTACCCTTGTAGAATTGTCCCGGAAATGATTAGTCGCTATCTGACAACCCTACACTCATAGCACTAGGGAAACCCTGTTTGCAGGTGCCATGGACACACGCATAGACAACCACAAATTATACTCCCAAACTCACGAGATAAATAAATGGAGACCATACAAATATATCTCCCGGCCCGGAAATATAACGTATAGCGTCTGACACGGTATGCTAGAAGATGTCGGTTCGAATCCGGCCGGATCGAAGGAATTTTTTCTGAGTGTGCGATCTTTGTATTAATAATTATATAACAAACTAGTGGAGTCATTTCACATAAATATAGTTGAATATCAATCATCATCAATTGAATAAAAATTTAAAAGCTATGGTTATTTTATGTGTAGAATAAGTGAACCTATCAAATAAAGTGAACTAGTATCTTGTGTACTAATAAGTGTTGTGTTTATATATTGTGTTAAAGTGATTTTTGTTTTTTCAAAAAGTTAATGCTTCGGCTTTACCAAGGAAAATTTTCACGTCTCGCCACTGCTTCTCATATACCCTGAGGTTCGGTAAACACTATAATCAAAACTAATGTAAAAATACATGGGATTGGTCCAACCGGGAATCGAACAGCATCCAGCACTCACAACGTAAACTATTAGGCCACCGATTGTCATATAAATTGAGCTCGCAGTTCATTAACTGACCAATCATTAGTACTGTGTTTGAAAGAAATAACAGCAATACAATACCTAATACAAGCTTCTTGATAATGATGCCTTCGTCCTGTATCTTATACTCGAACATGCCGAGGTATTCCCGCTCCTTCTTCCGCGTCACAGGTGCCATTTCCACAAGCGACGCGTGGCCAGTGGGAACCACTGTATCTGTGAATTCAAATAATAGTACATTGTGTATTAAAGGCGGTAAGTAAGGAATTACGAACGAGACTTAATTAGGCTTTCAGAGTCAAGTCCGTGATTCCCGTACCGCTCGTGAAACATAAGTTTTTTATCAACCTTGCACGTAAATAATATGATAAAACCCTCGGGCTTTTTTCTTCTCATTACCGACCATAGTATAATGATAAGAAAATAGTACCGAGGGCTTTTCTACCCATTTGCTGCTTAATTAAATTAAAAATTAAAATTTGTTACATAGTGTTATCAACCTGTGCACATTCCACTGCCGAACACAGGTCTCCTCTAAAAAGTAAACTTACCACTGCTTTCGAGGATGTCATTGACATCATCAACACCGACTTCTTTAAGCTTGTTGACGAGCAATCTGATCTGGTTTTTGTAACGTCGACAGCTCTCTGATAACTTGTCTGAACGCCCCTAAGGAATTATACAAAGAAAAATTTTAGTTTTTCCTGTAAATATTTTTAAAAATTATGAAGTGACAAAAATTCTCACCAGCAACGTAAGGTATTCGGAAGCCAATCTGATGATTTCATTTTGAGCGAATTCCTGGTCCTTCGTCTTTGGTTCTTGACTCAAATCACCACTCAATAATCTGAAACATAAGATTAAATTTTGATTAACCTTTCAGACATATACATATACATAGATTTTAAGACTTTCGTGGTTATTCACTAAATGATTATCACTAG